CAACACTGGTCCAGATTGACCGAAAAGTCACCAACACTGGTCCAGATTAACCGAAAAGTCACGAACATTGGGGTCAAATTGACCGAAAGTCACCAACACTGGTCCAGATTGACCGAAAATTCACGAACAACGGGGGGCAGATGGACCGAAAAGTCACGAAGGTTTAAATCTATATATATGATATAGGGTTTAGGGTTTAGGGTCCGCCGACCCTGGCGGCGTGTTGGATGGGTTTGGGGAGGTGAAAACCTCCCTCTTTCCCTACCCCCCCAAACGCGGGGGGGGGTAGGGGGTACCCCGGCCCCCCCTCCCTCCCCCCTTCCTAACCCCCTCCTACCCACCTCAAAAACCTCGGAGTAGGACCCCCAACCGCGCGACGGGGCGGCCCTCAACGATGCGCCAGCGGGGTCGGCAGCTTGAGCCGGTAGGAGCTTGTAGTCCCACCCCAACCACCCAAACTATTCTCACTTAGGGTTTAGGGTTCACCCCCCAAACCCCCCTCAAGGGGAGCAGGGTGGGGTTCCCGAGCTTTGTGGAGCCTGTCAGTGGCTCGTAGGCTTCTGGGAGCTTTCACGGAGTAGAATGGAGGGGTGCCCAAAACCGTCAATTGCAATACTAAAAAACTACATCCTGGCACATGCTGGAACTCGGGGCTTCATGCAGCCTTAAGGGCAGCAAAACAGCAGGGGGTAGCAGGGGCCTCGGCCGCCCCTGCTTCCAACCATGGGAGTAAAACGAAGCAGCAAAACGGTAGGGGGTAGCAGAGGCCTCGGCCGGCCCGTGCTTCCAACTGGTCGTAGCAAGACAGAAAACCCATGTCAGAAGGTCGCAGAGGAGGTTCGGGGGGCGTCCCAAGGCAGAAAAACCCATGTCAGGTTTTAGGGGTTCCCACCAAGAAAGGTGTCGCGGGGGGTCGCAGAAAGGTCCCAGGGGGGGTGCCAGGGGTCAGGTGGTTTTTTTTTTCGAATCTGCACGGGCCCAATAAGAGGGGGGGCCCTGGAATCTGCCAGCCCGGGGCCCAGACCCCGGCCGGGAGGTACCCTCCGACCCAAAATGACATCAACGGTGCGGGACTTGGGGTCCTAATTATATTAAGGCTTACGCCCCAGGTTCTGTGGCGTAGCCAGGCACTGCAGGCCCGGTCTACCGGGAGGCTTTTCCCTCCCTCACCGAGGTCCCCCGAAGCCTCGAGCGCCCAGGTACATGGACAGCGGCGCTCTCGGCAGTTTAGGGTTTAGGGTGCAGGGTTTAGGGTTTAGGGTTTAGGGTTTAGGGTTTAGGGTTTAGGGTTTAGGGTTTAGGGTTTAGGGTTTAGGGTTTAGGGTTTTACACAGTATGACCAGCAAAGGGATCGTGGACGCTTCCTTTGACTTCTGGCTGGGGGGAGCAGCTACAGCAGGGTGTGAGAACCGGACCCGGCAAACACCAGGGGGTCACCGGGGCACCTGCTCACAGGGAGGAAGAGGTCAGCAGATATTGTGTCTTCAGGGGCTGATCGAGGATGAGAGTTTAGGGCGTAGCGTTTGGGATGGCAAGGTTTGGGTCCTTCTGTGCGGAGTCAGGTGGTTTAGGGTATCGGTATCACGTCTCGCTATCCAAGTCCAGAGGAGGTTCCATGGCAACCCCTTTTGCCCTCTACATCTAAAGCCAGGTTTGGATTCTAGTCTTATCCGCCTTGGGTTGGCTTACAAGACCACAGCTCCTGCCAAAGCGACAAAGTCACTAGCGACGAGCCGGCATCCCTTGCCATCGAAGTCGGTACGAGATGTAGTAGAGGGAGAGGAAGGGGGGGTTACAAAAACGAGGAGAAGCTGCAGCGCTGCAGAGGCCGCTGTCGTTAATCAAAGCACAAAGGTGTAGATGCAGCCCCTTTCTACAGACGTACATGCCCGCGCTGAGGCTCTCACGGCTGGCGCCATGTGCCGACCCATGAATTTGGCAATCCATCTAAAACAATGTGCCCTGACAGAACAGCCATCATTGCCAATCGTCATGAAAAGAAAAAACCCTGAACCCTGCTACCCTGCCATGAACAAAGCCAAGCTACCACAGCCGCAAAATCCGCAAAAAAAAGAAAAAATACAAAAACAGTCAAACCACCGGCGCTCCGCTATGCACTTCCGAGCACATGCCGGCAACCTCTTCCAAGTGCATCTCAGTGCAGGCTGGCCAATCAGTCCTTTTGTGACTGCCGCGAATCAAGCTCCAATGTCCCAAAAGCTCCAACATCCACCCCACAAACAAGAATCACCCGAAGTAGCGAATGTGAGGAGGACTGTCCTAGCAAGTCGCCTGCGCGGCTCGGACTTGCACGGAATATCTGACCTGCGCTGCAGGGAAGGCACGGAAGGGCAGCAAACCGGTCCACGAACCCGGCCAGCCAAGCTCAGCAGCTGCCCCTCGCAAGGGCTGCAGACGAGTGCTGCATCGAAGCTGTGGCTTCTCACCTGCAGCGTGCTACGGGTACCGTTGCAAAGGAGGAGCTGGTGAGATCCGCCCACCCCCCCCCCCGGCTTGTTTGGAGGTCAGAACTACTGGAACCGGCTTGAAGGGGGTGTGCTCTGGCAGTCTTGGGTCGCGCAGCAGGTACGAAGAATGGAACGCTTCTGGGATAAAGCTAAGCTGCCAAACCCAAAGCATCACTGAGTAAAGGCAATCGTCGATGTGCGATCTCCCCAGTCAGAGAACGTCAGTGGGCTGCGTGAGTCTCAGCCTCAACGGCTCAAGAGCGGTGTGCGGTGCGCCAGGGTTGTGCGACGCTGCGCAGGGGCTTTGAGTGCTAAATGAAGGGTCTTCGTGACACCTTCTTTGCGACACCCTATGACGCCACACACACACCTCAGAGATGAGATTTCAAGAGATGCCAGGAGTTGCTAGAAAGAGTCACTTGCATTTGCTCGCTTAGCTGTGGTCATCCATGGTCATCCCATGGTCATCCCATGGTCATTTGATGCCTCAAAGGCACTGAGAGGGCGCAACTGATCAAGTGATGCAGATCGCCGCGCAGGGTTTCTTCCGAGAGGCGAAGACCTGCAAGACACGCACTGCAGGTCTGCAAGCAAGTCTCGCTGGCGCCCGTCCCATCACGGCTGGTCCGCTCCGGCTTCCGCTTTGCAGGTCAAGTCGCGAGCAGGGGCACCTGTAGAAATGCTTGCCCGCCTCTTCACCCCGAGCTTCTTCCCACGCACGGATGCAACCCGATTTCTGGAAAAGAATCTCAAGTGCCTCTTCCACTCTCTCCGCACTTGGACTGCTGCAAGGTGAGCTTTCCTGGCCGCTGAGTAGCTTCCTGCCATCTTTTTTAGCTTACAGCAACTTCGAAGAACTTCTGGTGACTTCAAAATAGGACAGCGGCCAAGGCGCCCCTTTTTGGCACATATCAGAAGCCCCCGCGAGCCCAAAGGGAATGGCCCCGTGGGTGTAGGGTAGAGCCTCCCTGAATGACTTCGGATGGTCAGCGAAGCCTGGCATTTAGATCTTGTGTACAGCAGCCCACATGCTGGAGCCGACGGGCCTGTCGCCGTCGCCCCTTGCAAAAACTTCTGGCTTCCGAGCAGGTCTTCCAGAGCCTGTTACAGCATGCCTCCGCGGACGGCACAGACTTGAAATTTCACTTGAGTCTCGAAGCCTGACCCTTTAAACATGTTCCCCATCCCAGCATTTCGCACGTGACACGCGCTGTGGGGCTGCCAGCTCTTAATCTCAACCAAGAACCGCGTGCTTATCTGGGAGGGCTGTAGACAACAGGGGATCCAATGATCTTACTCATATCCTTCTCCAGCCATACTTCCTGCGGCTGGACACCTCGGCTGCAGGCGATGTTCCGCACAGCCGGTGCTTTGTTACAGCCCCATGGCTGTCCTTGCACTATCCTCAACTTGCGAAGTGTCAGTGTGCTGCATTGGCATGCGGTTGCGGCAAGCACCTCTCATGCTGATTCAAGAAAGAGCCGACTGTAGAGAAACAAAAGACGGAGAAGACGCTTCTAAAAAAGGGAAGCGCCGCAGAGCAACGCACATGACTTCCAACAAGCCCTCTAGAGAAGAGGTGAAGTCTTCTGAAACGAAACGAGGGCTACGGCGAACCATACTCGCACCGCTGAAGAAAGCGCGCTGCCAGGAGGGACCTGGATCTGCCCATGAATCTTCCCGGGCTCTTCGGGCGTTGTGCGAGAGAGGGTCGGATCCGGAAGCCCACGCAGAACATGAGAAAGGAAAGGCCCGAGCTTCTACAGCGGCCCGGGAAATTCGACCGTTTTGGCCGGGGGGACCTGAGACCCCAATGAACGCGGAGGACTCGGGAAGTTGACAAAGTCGACCACGGGATCCCTTGCTCTCAATGAACACATGGGTTGTGCAGCTCAAAGCAGCAGATTCGCTATGAAATGATGTTGCGCGGTTTGGTGTCGATGCACGCCAAACTGTCATACATAATGAAGCCGGCCACGGACGCCGAGAATTCTCAGCTACAAATTCGTAATGAAGTCAGAGGACACAGTCGATATCATGGGCGATGATCTCGCCTCATCTGCCACGTTGCATCTTCAAGAAAGATGGACAAGTGCTGGGTGCTACTCACACTGTTCGCGCGTTCTGCGAGAGATGGTAGCATCCAAAGCCCCGAGCTTCTACAGCGGCCCGGGTAGCGAGGCAGCGGATCAGGAGGGGGCTGCTCGGGCTCTTCGGGCGTTGGACACAGGAGCCCGCGCAAGACGTAAGAAAGGAAAGGGTTTAGGGTTTAGGATTTAGGGTTTAAGGTTTAGGGTTTAGGGCTTAGGGTTTAGAAGACCCGAGCTGCCGGGGAAGGTGGATCATTTTGGCCGGGGGGATCTGAGACCCCAATGAACGCGGAGGACTCGGGAAGTTGACAAAGTCGACCGCGGGATCCCTTGCTCTCAATGAGCACATGGATGTTGCAGCTCCCGCAGAGCACCGGGTTCGCTACGAAATTTATGTTGCGCGGTTTGGCTGGTGCCGACGCACGCCAAGATTGCATACACAATGAAGCCGGCCGCGGACGCCGAGAATTTTCAGCGGGCCAGCTACAAGCTCGCAATGAAGCCAGAGGACATAATCGATTTCATGCGCGAAATCATGCCTCATCTGCCCCTTTACGTCTTCAAGAAGGATGGACAAGTGCTGGATGCTACCCACAGCATCGATTTCCATGGCAAAGATCTTCCTTTGTGCCACAAGAAGGCTTCCAAAGACCCGGATGGAGCGGTCCTCTTGCAGCTGCACTGGTACGATGTTGATGACCCAGACGCGTTCTGCGCCGAAACCAAGGTGAGACAAACATCATCCATCGCGGTTGTTGGCGGACCTTTGCCCCAATGTAATGCACTGTTCACTTTCATGCAGAACCCGGGCAGCCGGTGTGCCTCGCCCCAACGCAACCCAGTTTCGATCGACTTCCTAACATGCTCCCCTGCACTGACATGCCTTACTGCAACGAAATGTCAACTTTCCATGTTGCGTAATGGCCCTGCATACCCTTACCATCCACCCATTTGTTTGTGGGTCTCCCCACAACCACATCAAGCCTGTGCACCCTAAACCCCAAACCTTAAACCACGCATGGCAGAGCCTTCGGCCGCGCATGGCTCGGCCAGGAAGAGCGCAGCGAGGTAGTGGATCAGGAGGGGGCAGAAACTCAGGGCTCTCATACGTTCATGCAAGCTTCCCGATTCCCCAGACCCTCGCCTCCAGTCCACCTTGTGCAGCATAGACATGCTAACATGTTTTCTTTGGCGAACTCTGCACTGCCGCAACAAACGCGAAAGAAATTCTGGTGTGCCGCCCAACACTTCTTCGGCTATAGCAACACCACCCGTTCAATCGCGCTCTCACCAGATGAGAGCAGCACTCGGCAAACCAGACTCATGTCACAGAGAACGGAAGCAACACACTTGTCTCCATGTGGTGTTACTGCTTCATGCTGAGTCATACTGCATCTGGCCGGATACAGCTGAGCTCTGACTCCTTAGGGCATTCATGGATCCTCTTCCTCGTGTCTTGGATGCCAGCGACTCAGCGGACCTCGAACCTGAAACTCCAGCTTCCAGAGAAAGCCTCACGCTACCCTAGGCCCTACGTTGAACCCCATGGACCCCAAGACCCGAAGATCCTTGTCACGATGACTGGACGTAGTCAGAGGAACGTCGGCTCCAGCTATTCTTCGTGGCGGTCGTGCTCGCATGACTCGCATAACTTGTGTGACCCGAGTCTGCTGGCTTAACAGCATCATGGATCGCTCTTCTGTATTGCGGGTGTGACTGCACTTCGTGGTCTGCAAGCAAGCCAAGCCCGCAAAGTAACGAGCCTGAACGGTTCTGCATGCCTCAAAATGGCATGCAGATTCCACGACTGAGCTGGCCAGTGTTTCTGGGCCTTATTGGGCCTTTCTTCTATCTGGCATTCGAAGTATACTAGTTATGACTAGCAAACAGCACCAAATCAGGCCGCACATTGGGCAAGTTTCATCACTTCGTGCGAGTTGAGTCATGTCGCCGCTTGGAGAGCGGAAAGGGCAGCGAAGCTATGACAAGCGCGACTTGCTGAAGGGATAAGGCGAAAGAATGGCAAACAAGGCAAGTCATAGTACATCAAGTCATGCTAAACTTGCTAAACAACAAGAACAAGTTATGGCCAGGCCACGTTCAAGGCTTAACTCCTGATAGCAGGAAAGAAGAATGAGCCCTGTGAGTTTTTCGAAGACACGGATTGAAGGTAGATGCACGTAGATGTGGGTCCATTACAGCATCAAAGGCCCCAACTGCGACTTTGAGGGCCAGCGGCCCCAAGTATTCTCTCTTCACCTGCGTGCTGACCAAGCTTTGTCTTGGTATGCAGCTCCCGTACCATGCGGCTGGTGCTTGCAACAGAGCGGCTCTTCGATAGCTAGCTTAAGGTGTGAGAAAGCTTAGGCGTTGCAACCGACACTTCGTCCGCGCATGCTTTGGGAAGGTATCCTGCGCACCTGACTCGGGCGCTTCGACGCTTCGTTGTAAGCTGCGGACTACTTAAAGGCACGTAGGCGCTGTCGAACCTGGTTGGCTTGCATGGCACATGGCAGACCCTCCGTCTTGTGAACCTGCTCCGACAGCTTGGGCTAGCGGCTAGTCCAGCTTCTGGGAGCCTGCAAAGTGCAAGAACTGCAATGTCACAGCAAGAGGATGTGATTGAGTGCTTGCACCCTCATCCCTCATGCCTCCTGCAGAAGAAGGAGTCGGAACTGGGGAGCGAGCCTCATTCAAGCCAACGTCATGTCCAGGCATGTCTAGACATGCCTGGTCTCGATGTTGTTGGAGGCCCCGTACAGCCGGCATCCGTGTGCAGGACTCCATCCAAAGCGCCTCGTGTGTGCCCCACCTTCTTACGACAGGATCTGGCTGGCTGAAGAGCTTCGATCCTGCTTGATGTAGACAAGATGCGCCGCAAGTTTGGCCAAGAAGCTTTGTGCACGAAACCTGCCAGCAGACGAGCGGCCGGAAGCGCAAGAAGCCCCTTTACAAAAATTGTTTGGGCTGTTTCCGGCTCTTCTTGGTATCTAAAGCCTTCACCAAATGAGTTGGGACCCCCTCTTCCCCCCCTCACAAGATGCAGGGACAGACCTCAAAGACAGGAGCGCCTGGTCTGAAAAGCAAGTGCCAAAGTGCTTGAAGCTCAGGCTCTCATGGAGATACGCTGATCAGCCGGGGGGACGAGTCGAAAAAACATGAGGCTGCTTCCTGAGCTTAAAGTTTGAGCCCAGGCCCTGTGGGCAAAAACGAAAGCAGCAGACGGGTGTACAGCAGCTCTCCGGCACGGCTGGGATTCCCTCAGAAGAGCCCAGGGGCACTCTAGATGCGATGGGCGGGCCTAGGTATGGTGAACGTAGGTTCAGGTGCGGATGTCCTAAAAGATGCCTGCAAAAGGTCTAAGCACCTTGCAATCAATTCAGCCATTCAGCTGCTGGCGCTTGTGGCCGGTCGGGCTTTTCGAGCCCTGAATGTAAGCACTGCAGATCCCGCGTATGGCTTTGGACGAAAATGGCTTCCTTTGACCTTGTGACGAATTCTGTCGAAAGGATCAGGACTCAGGACTTTGCCATGACACGGCCCGTCGATTTTGTCAAGGTACGTCGGGAGACGCCTGCGCATGCGCACACATTGTCCGCGACTCCGCGGCCGCCGCGGTTGCTACTGCCGCTGCATGGCACCAGCCCTCCTGGCTGAGGCGAGCCTTGCGCGCTTTGCTTGCATTACGCTGCAAGTCCTGTACCACGTTCCGGCGCATCTTGGAGCTGGCTACCGCCGAGCTCATGGTAAGTTTCCCACAAGTTCTCACGGGCAACAGCAACGTTATGTGTATTCATGGGATATCCATCAACAGCACGGACCAGCGACACTTCAGAGCTTTGTCCAGTCTGACAGGTGAGCCAGGGAACTGGGCGCCGACGTCAGCCAGTGCTGCCACGCATGTCGAAGTGCTCCCCCTTGAACATCTCCGAGGTGGAGCTGGGGAATTTGCGGAGACCACAAATGGTGGTCTCCGAAGTTCGGGGCAGCTTATTGGGGGCCCTATGTTAAGGGAATCCTGCTACTTGGTAGGGGGGGGTCTACTTTGGGGGATCCCCGATTCTCGCAAACCCCCAAATCGAAGGAGGTGGAGCTCTTGCAACTTACGCTTAATGTGCCTATCTTAGGCTATCTCAGGCTATGGCTATCGCAAAATAGAAGTCACCGCAACAGCCTCTCAGGGAAGTCAGGTACCAGGCCGCCTGTCACACCCCTGAACTTCTGGGCCGAGAGCCTTGTGACCTACAAAGTACAATGGCGGCATTGAAGGGACCATCAGAACTTCCCCAGTCCGCCTTGTGTCCCCGCCCCGAAACTTCGCAACTCCATCGTTGCATCTCTGCATGCGCAAGAGGCGTTTGTGGACTAAGCGTACGCAACCAACCACACTGCTCCGCAAATTATTCTTTCACCGAACAGTCGCTGCACGTGCAATCTGGTGGGTGACCAGTCAAGTGCTGTATGGTTAAGATGCTTGCTCCAAGCAGAACGGGTTGGGCAGCATGATGCCGGTCTGCTTTTGTGGGGATGGTGTAAGTTCAGTGGTACTTCATCGGTTGCTTGCATGCCTCGCTAAGGGACATCCGGACAAGCCTGACAGTCCGAATGGCCCGAAGGCCTGCCGCTTTCTCAAATTGATCGGCTACAGAATCAAGGCCTCAGCCTTCAGTCCCAGACGGATAGGGCTCCAAGACCCTGATCTCGAGTTCTTCCTGTCTTCACGCTTGTCTAAGTCAGGTGCGCCTTGGACGTCTCCACACCACAACGACGGCCATCATGGCAACGCTTCATCGTGGACCGGGCGGAACTAGTGGTAGGACATGCTGAAAGAAGACATCTTGATTGGCATCCCATGCCATAGTGATCTTGCTTAAGAATGTTACGGTGCACGCAAACAACACATGTCCGCTTAGGAACCTTGCCTCCCCCTCTGCCTTCTCAAAGACAGGAACACATGGTCCACAAACTCCTTCCCAGCATGGTGTGAAACGCTTTCTGCAGAGCAGCTTCGGGATAGGGGTCAGGCATATGAAAATGACAGTTGCGACGTCAAACCGCGTTGAATCAATTCGGATCTTGATCAGCCAAACCCTGGATCCCACTTACATTGCAGAGTCCTGAGGATGGCACGAACCAACAAACCGATTGCAACGCCTACGGGGTCGAGGGCCTGCGCCTACTTCTGAGGGCGGCACGAATCTACACAAGCAGTAAGCATCATACCCCGGAGCTGGACATTGCAAGCCAGGGGAGAGCCGGAAAGGGCAGACTACGCCAGTGACCGGCTCAGATCAAAGTACGGGCCGGGAAGCTTGACTGACCCAAGCGGAGGCCGAGCAGGCGAGGGGGCACTGATCCCACAAAGGCCGGGGATTACAGTGGCGAGGGTGGCGAGGCTGGCACAAGCGAGGCAAGCATGCTTATTCACGGCTCGGCCAGCTGCTCCGCCGGCAGCTCGGGTGGACCCAGTCGGCGCAGGATCGCGCGAGCATTCTCACGCTGTAGGGAGACAGCCAAGGACTGCATGAGCTGCTCAGTCTCAACAGCCTCACTCTCTCCTGTCTTCGCTGCCAGCAGTTGACCCAGTTCCCTCCAAGTCCGCCTGGCGATGGGCGCCCCCTTCCCGAATTCCTTGAAGCTCAAAAGGTCGAAACGCTCAAGGGGATCAGCCTATCAGCTCTGTTGGTGGCAATGCCTGCAGCTGCAAACCTTTGCCGTCCTGTGCATTTGTGGCTCACTGCACTCAAAGGGCAACAGGGCAAGTGCAGGTGGTCATGCCTGCAGCTGCAAACCAGTGCCATCGTGTGGCCAAGGCAACGGCTGCCTCCAGCGCCATGATGACGAAGTTATTGGTGTGTCTAGGCTTAAGGTTGATTTCCGGATCTGTTTAGTATTTTCAGTTGGAGCCGGGCGCACTGCGAAGCACAGTTCCTGAGAGTATGTGGACAGTCCTTGCGAAGCCTCAAACCTTTGCAGCCTTCATCTGCTCTCTCCGCTTGATCCAGGGCGACGGACATCTGATCATCGACTGCGCTCACCAGCAAACCTCGAACGCCAAGATTCGTGCACGAAGCCTCAATTACAGCTACTCCGATGCACGAGCTGCGCTCCGCGGGAGGCCCTTCACTAGGGCCAGGCTGAGGCGATCGGACTCCACGCTGAAATGGTTTGCAGGCGTCACGGTCGGTGGGATGTTTTGGTGGCACGCACCTGAAACAGGAAGGGAACATAAGGGAACCCAGATCGTGCATGCGCGCAAGCAAAGCTTGGTCTGCAGCCCTTTTGGCAAAGTCCTCGGAGCTCGGGTCAAGGCGCTTTGCCGATTGAAACTGGAAGTTCCAGACAAAAGCCACTCAGCCACTCAGCCACTCCAGTCGTGGAGGTCAAGGGGTGATGGGACACCGTGAGCCCAGAAAGAGAGATGACACAACCAGCTCCTCGGCACCAAAATACCATGCCGCACAGCAAGGCAACTTGAAGAATGGGAGAAACATGGCACTCACGTATCAGCAGAGCCTAGATGCAAATCAAGCTGGAGGAAAGGAGGTGACCCAGAGCCGACGCGGCCAGAGCGCGCTTTGTCGGCGAAGGTCCTCCAACCATCGACGTGTTCACTGATGCGTGGCTCCGCTGGCAGAACCGGGGGAACCCTTCTGAGGGAACATCCCTGCCAAGCTGAGGAAAGAAGTTGGCCTGGCTGGCTTGTCATCAGCGAAAGATGAAGGAAGCCCAAAAGTCAATGCCCTCATACAGAATGGTAGTGCATCTTCGCGACAAACTGGGGTCGCCAAAAGCTCAGCTAAGGTCTTTCAAGGATGTTTAAGGGCTTAAGGACGCTTAGGGGTTAGGGAGTTCCAAGTCCTGACCGTACGGGTCCAGCCAATCGCTCTGGAAGCTTACCGCTGGGGCAATCACGGAAGCCGAGCTTCATGCGTTTAGGCAGCGCTTTCCGGAAACAGCTCACTTCTGGGAACGAGCTTGCAGAACCCAACCGGGCAAATCTAAACAACCCCCAAAAGAGATCCCAGCAAAGCAAAAGCTTTTGTTGGCATTTGCACATCCTCGGCTCGCACTCTGGAAGCTGTGCCTCAGTTCGAATGCACCACACTCGCTGCTAACGATTCGTGCATCATATAGAGTTATACAGTTGTACCCGTCTATGACACAAAGTTTGTTGAAAGCAACACATGGGGTTCAGGGGGACCCACAAAGCACGAACTTTGAGTTCTTAGCTCTTCATCCGCCTATGATAGGACGCCTATGCTGCCAAGGGCAAACTCCCTTCCGCAGGAATCCAACCTTTCTGAGGTAAAGTGCCTTTCAAAAGAGAAGGGGGGGTTGCCTGGGGGGCCCCTTGATCCTGCCAACTCTCTTATGGCAACCCCCCTCTTGAACCTGAACTCCGGACAATCTCAACTAAGCTTGTACATAGACCCCGAAACCCTAAACCCTAAACCCTAAACCCTAAACCCTAAACCCGAAACCCGAAACCCTAAACCCTAAACCCTAAACCCTAAACCCTAAACCCTAAACCCTACCCACCCAAAGTTAATGACAGCTCGCTAACATGAAGATCACACACAAATCTGACTGATAACAACTAGAACAAGCGAAGCCTCAACCTTACTTGGAGGTCATGGTACTTACTAACCAAATAGTAACTGCACTGAAAACCCAAATGAAAACCATGTTAGGGCAATCAAGGGGCTTATAAGTGGATTATAAATACAGCTATGATTGGCTGTTAAGTACCACGAACTTCCAAGTAAATCTTCATCTCTGACTGCCCTCTCAAGCACTGTAATCCCAAAACCCATACAAGCCTAAACCCTAAATCCCTAAAACCCTCACACCCAAAAATACGGAAACCCTCAAACCCAAAAATTCCCCCAAACCCTGCAACCCTAAAACCTTAAGTTCCTTAAGCTTGATCCAGGTCAGGTCAGCGACGATCAGAATCACGACCATGTGGGAAATTTCGGCACATGCTGAATAACACTTGGCAGGACAAACACAAAATTTGCTGCGGGAGTACTTGGGCTTACCCCTTATTGACCGTGTCTCACGGCAATGCTTCTTTATTTGTCCATGGATGGCTTAAGATGTTTGGTGAGTGAGCCAAATAGCAATCGAGCTGTCATAACTACCCCGCAAGCGCATTTCCCAAAATAGGGGTATCCTAATATGCCCCCCATGATGCTACAGGAACCTCCAAAAAGGGTTCATGGTTGGTAAATCCCCACAATGAAAAGAGACTCGGTGTTCATGAACAAGAGCCCGCCATGGCAGTAGAGAGCAGTGCTAAGCAGTCATTGTGCAAAGCGGAATTGGGGTTAGGGTTTAGGGTTTAGGGTTTAGGGTTTAGGGTTTAGGGTCCAGGGTTTAGGGTCTAGGGTTTAGGGTTTAGGGTTTAGGGTTGTGAGTAACGAAGCGCGCAAGAACACAATTTTCACCATATGCTCAAGAGCGCTCTGTAAACCGAAACAGCAACAGCAAACATAATAAAGGCACACGCTCAAGCTGTACAGAATACAACGTGTTGTCTTCACACCCGTCTATTTATTGACGTGTGCCGGACTGTACAAGTGTTTGTTGTGTGAAATTGGGCTCTTTCTACTAGTGCGCGATTCTTGGCAACTACTAGCTCGCTATTCCACGAATTAAGCTCAGTTGCTCATACGAGTCAACTTTCGCCTGCTTGATCATCTTCTCTAGAGATAGATGGTTTGGGCATGGTCTTGGGCAGCTTCTTGTTCGGCTCACTGAATGTTACCACACCCTCACGCATGGTCCTGAATAGTTGATGAGGCTTCATGCTCTTGGTGAGTGCATCGGCCAATTGAGTGGCTGTGTCAGTCCACCGCAAACGATCACCATTTGGAGCATAAAGTTCGCATGTCATCACATCTCCATGCCAAAGTTGATTTCGCATGGCGGCCAGCTCGATGCCTAGCCTCTTGTCAGAAACTTTTGCGGCTTGGCCTGCGTTAAGGTGATCACTCAACGATCTGCAGTCAGTTACCCACATCATATTGCGTTGAGATGCTTCAAACCATTCCTTCATGTCGGGAATAAGGCCCTTCACCTCGCATATGATGGCCCTAAGCCTATCACCTGCTTCAACTGCCGACTGCATGCCATACGTTTCAGCCTGCAAGGTGCTGCGACACACCCTTTTGATTGTTGTCGAAGCATAGCTGATGATGTGGGCATGATGCTCATTTGTATCAACTTCGGAGGCATCGCACAAATAATGAAGTCTCCCTTGTTGCGATCGGAACCCTTCTTCTTGTGCGAAAGATGCATCACTGAAACTGACCAAGCTGACATTGTCCCAACAGCATACTCCGGCTTCATAGTGTAACTTGACATCTATGTCAGCCTTTGCTAAGTCGACCACACGATTGGCGTCACGGAGATCGCCAACTGTTGCTCTTGAGCAGGCTCTTTGCAAGCAATTGACCCGGTAGCATAAATCCGGTCGTGCGTATCTTGCGACCCACGCCAGTGACCCAACAACGCTTCGCAATGACGTTACTTCTCGCTCTGTGGCTTTCTCGGTCGCTTTGCGACTTTTGTCCACATCGATATGCTTAATGAGGCGAGTGTTGTCCTCCACGTCGATGTCCACACTGAAGTCAGGGTTTTGGCGAAAACGTCGACCGCAAAATCTGAAATTGGTATGCTCTATTTTTCCCACGTCGAACTTGCCGAGGATTCTTTCCATCACTTTTGATCCTTCTTCAGTTGCACACCAGAGCAAATCATCGACACGCGTGCCTACTCGCACCGCGGGTAATCAATCCGTAGGAGCCGACCAGATAGTATAGCCCTGGGGCTATCTGGCTTACTTTCAAGCCTTCTTCTCGGGAAGCTTTGTTGAGTCGGGTGTAGAAACCTCGACCTGCGTCAATGGTTCCATAAATTGGTAACCTGCAAAGCAGCATGGCGTCCGATGGTACACCCGGCAATCCACCTGAAGGTAACTTCATGAGTAAAACACGCTCCAGTGGTTCGCTCTGAAAGTACGCGGACGAAATATCACCAGAGTAGAGCATGAGCCTCCTACTCGCCGCGTAGCTGGCAATTAAGCAGTGCGTTTCGGCATCTGCTGTAGGGGCGTCACAACGAACGTCCCCTCGGGATACGTCCTCGTAATTGCCGCAAATGACCATTCTGCTACTGGTGTCCCTTTTTGGACTTTGTGTTTGTCCACATCTATCCATTGGCTTGGTATAGGCACGTGGCCTTCTTTGAGCAGTGCCTGAAGCTCGGCTCCCCTTATCGGGATAGCCGCATTGTATCGCTGATACTTTCGCCACTCATCTGCACGAGCTTCGTCGACCCCTTTCCGGGTGTCGGCATCGGCCTTGAAGTAGTTTAACTTCCGCGGTCTCTTACCGTCTTGTCCTTCTTCTGGTTGTGGAGTGAACCTCTCTGTCACAAAGGCCTTGAACTCCTCGTGCTCTCGGATGACATCATCTCTGGTCTTCACTTCGTGATAGACCTCAACAGGTGGCACATCACCATCCTCTGACATCGCTTCTGGTCTAGCTGGCTTATTAGCTAGGTGGGCTTCATAGTGCTCCCTCTCCAGATCTTCGAGGGGCTCAATGTTGAAGCCTGCCGCAAGGAGCTTGGCTCGCTCTTCCGAGTCGAGTGTGCGGTACCCTCTACTTGCATAGAATGCTAGGGTCCATCGCTCCCCTTAAAGGTGCTGTGGCATGTTCCGTTTTCGGGTCGAATATTACGAAACGATTCCGGCAGCTTAATACTTTGCCGTTTTTGCCATCCAGCATTAACTGAGGACTACCTGCTTTCGGATGATCGTCCTTC